CAAACCAAGCACATGGCGTAGAACACATCTTTTCTTCTGGCTCTGCACCTCCATGTGGAGGGTTTGCCCTTGTCCTCTTTCTGTCCAACACATGCTTTTCTCCAGGGCAAGGACAGCTTATCCAACTAGTAAGTTTTGGAGAATGAACAGGGCCTGAGCTGCTCACTCCTTCTCCTCTTTCTTCTTTCCAGATTTTCTAGCAAGAAAGAAGTATTCCAGAGCCTAAGATGGGTAATAGTATGGTCAAGCAATAGCCTTAAGCATACCGACTATCGTTAAGCTGGTGTAGGAACAAGGAATGCTTCGTTCTATTGTACATAGGCTGCGGTGAGTTAGGGCCAACTTGACAGCAATTAACAAGATGTGCTTTGAAGTGTACACGAGGGAGCAGGCATCCGGTTGCCACACAGGGAGTAGTCTACTGCTCACTAGCGCTCTCTCTCTCGGCACTGAAGCCCATTCATTTAGGGGTTACTCTCCAGAATGTGGCATCAGGATTGGAGAAAGACTCATCAACAACCTACATAGGTAGTTCACATGATCTTGCTTGCTGAAACTGAAGAAGACCTGAAGCATTTGCTGCAGAATGTCAAGGACTGTAGTCTTCAATATAGATTGAAGCGTGACATCAAGAGGACAAAGATTCTCACCACTGGGTCAACTGGCAGCACAGCTTACTGGGCTCCACAATCAACACTCTTAACACCAGCAGTCAAGAAATCAAAAGATGAATTGCATTTGGAAAATCTGCTGTCAGGGACCTCTACAGAGTACTGAGAAGCAACGACGCCAGTATAGAGACAGGTACACCTGATGCAGGCCTTGGTCTCCGCAATTACTTGCTATGCATCAGAGAGCTGGACAATGACTAAGGATGACAGAAGAAGAACTGATGCCTTTGAGTTGCAGTGCTGGAGAAGAGTCTTGAATATACCATGGACTGCCAAGAAAACAAACAGGTCTGTTTGGAGAGGGTGAAACCAAGTTTTTCTCCTTGGAGGCTAGGATTTTGAAGCTTTGTTTCACATACTGCGGGCATGTGGCAAAGAGGAACCAATCCTTAAAGGAGGACATCATGTTCAGAAGGGTGGAGGGACAGCACAGGAGAGGAAGACCCCAGATGAGAAGGATTAAGACAGTAACTGGAGTAATGGAGGTAGGTGTGTTTGAATTAGAACTGGCTCAGGGCAGAGAAGGGCTCAGATCTACTGCACATAGGGTCGCTGTGGGTCATAGGTGACTTGGCAGCCCATAACAAAAACAACCACAACTCTGACTAACCATGATCTTGCAGCAGCTTTGTCATAGGTAAAAGTGGCATTTGATCTGCATTATCTCTGAGCCCTAGGGGTTAGTGAGTTATGTGTTGAGCTACTTCACAGAAGTCAGCGGTTCAAGCCTACAACAGAAGAAAGATGAATTAATCAGCTGACATGAAGATTTATAGCCCCAGAAACCCAATGGAGAGTCACAAGGAGTCTGAATCAACTCAATGGCAAACTGTGTTTGAGGGGTCTGGACCTCTGATCTAAGGAGCCCTGGCAGCACAGTGGTTAAGCACTAGCCTACTAGGCAAAAAGTCAGTGGTTCAAACCCATCAGCCACAGGACTGTTTCCTTCCATAAAGATTTGCCGTCTTGGATTCTATGGCCGATTGTATTTTGTCTTACTAGAGTTACTATGAGTCAGAAAGACCTTGGAAATAACAGGCTTTGTTTGGTATATCTAATCTTAACAAAGAAAGGCACTATCACCTGCTGACCTCAAACCCAAAAATTTGGTTGATTTTCCTACTGTTTCTTTAGTCTTTTATATACTTATGCTCATTTTAGTAATTTTTTTCTTCTATTTTTAAGTGGTTATTTCTCCTTAATTATTTCAGTAACACAATTAAACGAGTATTTTTAAACTTTCTTTTCACTCAATATAAGCATTTACAGTCTAGATGTTCCAGAAATTAATGTTCTTTTGTCACTTAGTCTTAATTGGGGATTATATCCATGTCTTCATTAACCCATGGATTAATAGTAAGTACTTTTAAAATTCCAAATGAATGACCATTTTAAGGTTTGGGAAAAGGGCATAATGTTGGATATTAAATTGAGTACCCTTAAAATGTTCTCAGGCCTTTTATTCATAGGGTCAATGGCACCTAACAATAACAACCACAACAACATAGAGAGAGCTACATTGGCCTAGTGGACAGAAAGTTATGCTACCAAGCCCAAAGTGGGTAATTTTAATCTGTGGCCCACAGGCCTGGTTCAAATTGTTTATTGTCAAACATTCTTCTAAGTGGTATAGCACTTGTCTGTGCATTGCTGTACAGAGGTAACTCACGGTTGCTGTCATGCTGAACACTGTGAAGAGAAATGTGGCATCAGGACAGGAAGTAGACTCATCAACAATCTGCATTATGCAGATGACACAACCCTGCTTGATGAAACTGAGGAGGACCTGAAGTGTTTGCTACAGAGGGTCAAGGACTGCAGCCTTCAATATGGATTGAAGGTTAATATCAAGAAAACAAAGATTCTCAACTCTGGGCTGATTGGCAGCATCATCATGGATGGTGGAGATTCAGACTGTAAACAGCTTTAGTTTGCTTGGTTCCACAATCAACACTCTTGGCACCAGCAGCCAGGAAATTAAAAAATGTATTGTCATGGGAAAGTCTGCTGTTAGAGACACTGAAGAGCAATTATGTCAGTCTCGAGACTAACATGTGTCTGATACAGGACATGGTCTTTACAATCAGTTGCTATGCATCAGAGAGCTGGACAATGACTAGGGATGATAGAAGAACTGATGCCTTTGAGCTGTGGTGCTGGAGAAAAGTATTTAATACACTATGGACTGCTAAGAGAATGAACAGATTTGTCCTGGAGAAAGTGAAACCAGGCTGTTCATTGGAGGCAAGGATTCTGAAGCTCCATCTGACAAACTTTGTACATGTTACAAGGAGGGACCAGTCCTTGGAGAGGGACTTCATGCTTGGGAGGGTGGAGGGACAGTACAGGAGAGGAAGACCCTGGATAAGATGGACTGACTCAGTGACTGGGGTAATGGGGGTAGGAGTGTTGGAGAGAATAAGATTGGCACAGGATTGAGCAGGGTTTGGGGCTGTTATACATAGGGTCACTACCGGTCGCTACGAGTCGCAGGCAACTTGACAGCACATAACAGCAACAACTTTGTTTCAATTCTGGTTTCCTTACCATCCATCATCTTCTCTGTGTCTTATTTTCTACCTCAATAGGCAGCAGTGGTTCCAGGGTAGCTCTGCTCCCTGTGTCTGGTCAGAGATGAGACAATTGACCATCCATAGAGGAGAAAACGTATTTGTTGAGTTTTGGGCACTAGCGTTTGGTCCTATCTTTGGAAGCTGGGATCACTAGGAGTCAGCAATAGGTTTATTTTCTGGTTTTAAAAAAAATCCCATTATTTTGGAAATTAGTAAATAAAGGGGAAAAATCAAGCACTCTCCTGGCTTTTCTCTGGGGCCTGTACCTCCGTGTGCCCGTGTGCCCACACAGTCGATAGGAGGAAGTTTCTCTTTATGGAAGCATAGGCTCACAAAGAAGCAGCCACAATGGAAGAGCAGTGTCATGCTGTGCAGCCTCAAATGAGATAATCCGTCTGTCAGCAGGGTTCACAGAGGCTGCTGACCTGGCAGAGGAAGAAGTAACCAGATCTGGTGAGGCCGCACCACCTGCCCCAGCTGTGACCAACATGTGCCAAGAAAAATTAAAAATCAAACATGCATCTGATCAAGCAGACGATGGAACCAATTTACCAGAAAAACAGGGGGTGAGAAAAACCACTTAACCATTGCCACCAGGACACAAGAGCCAAGTCCAAGACTGTGGGAACTACTGGGACCAAATGATGAGAGGAGAACAAGATCGGGGCAGGCAGGCAGGGAAGACAATTAGAGGATTAAAGGAGACTGAGCTTCCAAGCTAGACACAAAAGGATCGTATATAACACATGAAATACCTAAAACTGGCAAAGTCATAGAGGCAGAATGTAGAGTAGAGGTAAACCTGGGGCTGGGGGCTACACGGGGAATTACTGCTTAATGGGTACAGTGTCTCTGTTTGGAATAATGAAAATGTTTTTGAAATCATGATGGTAAAGGGTTACAAAGTAATGGCACTGTTGCTATTATGTGCCACCAAAACGTCTCCGACTCCCGGCAACCCAGCCACAAAGTACAGAGCTCCACAGTGGTTCCTAGAGGCACTCTTCACAGGAGCAGACTGCCAAACCTTTGCTCCAATAGACCTGTTGATGAGGTCAAGTCACTAAAGCTTTCAGTTAGCAGCTAAGCTCTCAACCTTTATGCCACCAGGATTCCTTAATCAGAACAACAAATAAAAATAAAGAGAATTAAGAATCCTGGCACCTAATCACAATATACGTATCTTCCTAAGATCCTGATTTGAACAAACTGTACAAAAATATGTATGAAACTATCAGGGAAATGTTACCCTTCGGCTAGATAGTTGATGAGACTAAGAAGTTAGTTATCATTTAATTTGAAGGTTGTTTGTTTGCTATTGTGTATCAGAGTTAAAATCGACCCACAGTGGGTTTTCAGAGGCAGTTAATAGCACAGGAGGAGACTGCCCATCCTTCTCCCACAGAGCAAGTGGTGGCCTCGAACAGTGTGCCTTCTGGATTGTAGCACAGCTTCTTGCCACTAGGCCACCAGAGCTAAAAATTAGACTCATTAGGTTTTTTAGGTCTACATAGAGATATATACTTAAGAGGAAAAGATACCAAGTCTAAGATTTACTTCAAAATAATCCTGGTTTGGGGAAAAAACTGGGTCAGGACAAAGTGTATTGCTGAGCATTTGATGCACTGACTCATTTTACTATTCTCTCAAATTCTGCACGTTTGAAATTTTTCCTAGTAAATTTTAAAACAACAAAAGATTTTTAAAACCCCATAGCACAGGCATCGCTCACACTCGCCCTGTACACAGGACCTACCAGCATCAAAGGAGCCTTCTTTGTCAATGGGCATGAGGATGTGAGTCAAGGAACCCGAGCTGGTCCTCTCGGCCTCGTCCAGCTTGACCAGCTGCAGCCGGGGAGTGGTGGCAGGAGGGAAGCGGTAGAACTGGAAGGTGAAATACACAGTCTTTGGCCACGGCGTTCCCCTGTGATCCTGGGATACTCTGGATCCAACAACAGCTCTGAGTTAATCAATTATCCATCCCAGGAAACCAGGGCTGTCACTGCACGCTTGCACGATCAGACAGCCTGGGCCCTGTGGGCAGCAGGTGGCAATAACATGCCACTTCGGCCACCCACAGGAGCAGCTTCGCCGGCTCTTCTCGAGCAGCTGGACTGCAGAGTGACACTCGGGATGGGTCAGCACATCCGTGCACATTTTAACTAACCAAAATCAAGTTCACTGCCGTCAAGTCATGTCTGACTCCTAGCAACCCTCCGTGGGGTTTCTGAGGCTGTAAATCTTTCCAAGATCTGTCCATCTTTCTCCTGCAGAGCTGCAGAAGGGATTCAACAGCCAACCTTTCAATTAGCAGCTCAGCATGAAACCCATTATATGCCTCTAGCCCGACTCCCCATATTCTAACAAAGGGCCCAGAAAAATCAAGCAAATCAGACAATCACAGGGTTGGAGACTGAGTGTGTCCCCTTAAAAGATATATCAGAATTTAAAACCCTATACCTGTGGATGGATGCTCAATTTGTTAATAATAGAGTTTTTGTTATATTAATGAGATCTTATCAGCATAGGACATGTTTTAAGTATTTTTTGGTGGTTTGTGGGGGTTTTAATTTGTTTTTCTCTAGCATATTATTGTAATCTGAGTGTAAGTTTACAGGGGAGACTGTATTCAATTCAACCATTCACACATATTTTGTTCTATGACACTAACTGCAACCCCACATTGTAGCTTCACTTTCCCCCATTTCTCTGTGGTTCTTATTTCTGTTCATCCTTGGGTCCTCTCACTTTTCGCCTTCCAAGACTGGTTCCTGGGCCAATGCTGACCTTGTAGTCTTGTCTGGGTAACTGTTGTACACACTGGGTACCCCCTGGTGTTGCCTTCGACCTGTGTATTGTTTGGGGATTGTTCTACTAACTTCTCAGCCAATCACTTTTGAAATAAATATAGAGGAGACGGATCAGGAACAGACACCAGGAAGCACAGATGGGAAAGCTCACCCAGGAACAGGGCAACTAAGCTGCCAAGGCCTTCCCTCAGAGGCCACAGAGAGACCCTTCCCCGGGAGCCAGGCCCGTGAACTCACACCTCTTCCCTCCAAAAAGGGAACGCTAATGTCCTAGTGGTAAGAAGCTGCACTGCAATCCTGAAGGCAGGCAGTTCAAATCCACCAGCCGCTCTGCAGGAGAGGGATAAGCAGTCTCCTGTGGATCAATCACCTCTGAAAACCTGTCCAAGGGATCGGTTCCAACTCAGTGGTACACAACAATAACAACTGCAACCCTCCTTTAAAGGGAACTCTGATGACCTAGTGGTAAAGAGCTGAGCTGACAGTCCAAAGGCACATGGTTCGAATTCACCAGCAGCTCCGTGGGAGAAAGATGAGCTATGTCCTCTCAGAAAATGATAGCTTCTGAAAACCGGCTCAAGTGTCAGCTATGAGTCAATTTTGACTTGATGGCAATGAATAACAAACACCCTCCTAAACTATCAGAAAACAAATTTCTGTTTGTTAACATCTGTTTGTGGTACTTCTGTTACATCAGCCCTAGCAGACTAAGATATATAGCTTCAGGGGGCAGAATTAGCCTTGCCAAAAGAAAACTAACTTCTGCCAATCCTTAATCTCACTGGATCTGGGTTAAGATAGCCCTGCCAAATCACAGCCACACAGAAGCTTCTGTTCAACACATCAAGACATGAACTTACCTGCTGAAGGCAAGAAACTGCAGCACTATTTCATTGCTTTGCAGACAGTCGGACTCTTCCTTCTGAGGGATGAATTTCACAGGGTCGCTGGGATTCACAGCCTCAGCTGGTTGCCTGTTGGCATCAAGAATCTCTGGAAAGCCGGAGGACTGCAGGAGCGCCATTGAGGCCCGAGAGAGTGCACTTCCGGAGCTGGAAAGAAAGCAGCACTCAGACAGGGCAGGCAGAGGCGGCAGAGGCCTGAGAACAGATCTCTTGAAAGTCTATTGCTCAGAGTGTAAGATGGGGGTGATGGCAGGGTGGACTGTGCCGGGTCCAAACCCCATCAGTGACTCCCCTCACCTCCTGGTCTGGGCCCCAACGACAATGGGGGCATGCAAGGGCGTGAAGGGCAGCTCCTGAAGCTGCTCAGCAATGCACGAGTCCAGGACCACTGAAGTTCGAGTCAGGTCTGCTTCCAGGTGAGAGATCCGGCCCTCAAAGGGGACCTCCTGCTGAACAAAAAGAGGGCCCCAGAAAAAGTCAAATCAGGATCCCACCTGTGACAGCAGTGCTTCAGTTTAAGGGGGCTTACTGGTGGTCTAGTGGTAAGAAGCCACACTGCAATCTCAAAGGCACAGGGTTCGAACCCACAAGCTGTTCTGTGGGAGAAGGATGGATAAGCTCCTCCCATGTGATTGACTGCCTCTGAAAACCCACTTGGGAGGGTCCGCTGTAGGTTGGTTCCAACTCAATGGCATCCAACAGCAACAACTGGGTTGCTGGATATACCAGATTATAATACAGATGATCCAGTTAAGTTTCAATTTCACGTAAATAACAAATACTATTTAGTATAAGAAGATCTGATGCAATATTTGGGATATGCTGTTCTAGAGGTGCCGTCAAGGTTATTCCAACTCAGAGACCTTACATGACAGGAGAGGACTGTCTGACAGGGATCAACGGCGGTGGTCTTTACAGGACCAGACTGACTCCCACGGAAACAGCTGCTGGATCTAAATGAGTACTTTTCAATTACCTGAGGGCTTTAACCACTGTCTCAACAGGGATCCTTCGCTGGGATCTAAGCCCAAACCCATTGCTATCAAGTGGATTTTGACTCTCAGAAACCCTACACAACAGAGGACAAACTATCTCACAGGGTCTCAAAGGTCATCTCTTTCTGGAAACTGACTGCCACATTTTTCTCCACTGGAGCACCTACTGAGGTCAAACTGCATCCTTTCAATTAACAACTCAGTGCTACACCACTGGGATAGTCTCCTACTAAAACATTATTTGTTGTTTATCAAATTCAAGTTTAAGTGGGCATTCTGTGCTTCCTTCCAGCCAGCCAACATGGGAGTCTACTGAAATGCAAAGAGAACGGACTCATCAATTTTACAGACTGGTCAGTCCCAGGGCAGATATCTGATGCCCCAGATGATAAACTAACACAAAAGCCACATTCACAGAACAGAAGGATGACACCTCCTTCAACAGTTATCAGTAGCCTGTATTGCCAAGGCCTTGCAGGTGTGCACAGAGGACGGGCACAGCCTGCCCTCAGCTGAATATTCTAGCCATTTACCCGTGCTCCACCATCTACAACTCTCCCAAAGGAAAAACATACATTGAAAAGACAAGTTTGCTGGGAACCAGGTATCCAGAAGACTCCCTTTCTTTTTTGGTTTTTATAATTTAAATTTATTATTAATTTCACTAAAAATTTACAGAGACTTTGGATTTCCATTCATTCATTGTTGCACTTTTCTCTCCTCCCAACCCTCCCCCTAGTACACTACCCTCTTGGAAAAGTAAAAGAAAAATTCTTTCCTTGTTTTACAATCCCTCCCCTAGGTCTACTCCACCAGGTAGCCTTCACTCTAGACTCCTGTCACGACAAAAATACCTAATCACGTATCTCTTTTAAACAGTTTTCTCCCTCATCTGTTTCGATACAGTACACATCATTGAACCCATCTTTCTCAGTCTCCCCCCAACCCCAAGGTCAGTCCTGTTTTACAACAGTGGCACCATGCAGTATTTGTCCTTTTGTGACTGAGATACTTCACTCAGCATAAAGTCCTCCAGAGTCAACCATTTTGTATAATATTTCATGAGTTCCTTGTTTTTCAGTGCAGCATAGTATTCCATTATGTGAATATCCCAGAGCTTCTCTATCCATTCATTTGTTGATGGAGAAGGCTCCCTTTCAAGCCTGCATACTAAGCTTTCTATTTCAAAAGGAAGAGCATATGTCCAGAGGGAACTCCAACACCAATATGGAAAATTAAGCAAGCTCTTCATAAAAATGTGAGCCTTATAATGTTCTAGAATAAGGTACGTCATGATATTTTCAGTGTTTACAAATGAGTTGTTAAACGGAAGTAGATTTCCTCAATGAGCTTCCAGTGAGACTGTGAATTCCAAGGTCGGCGGAAGCACGGGCCTGTTTTAGCCATTCAGTCCACGTGAACCCAGGAGGGCGGGTTTCTCCTTGAGCTGCTAAGGCAGCAAGGACAGTGCACCTGGGGCCTTCTATTTATAGCGTCAGCTCGCTGCCCTGTTCCCTTAACGCACTGAGATTCTAAGGGCGCTCTTTGTCTTACCAGGAAAAACAAATACTGGAATTAAACTATTGGCACAAACTGCTTTGGGAGTCAGATCTCCCCTGGTCTCTCTCCTTAAGGACATCAGGGTAGTGAATGTGGTCTGAAGTGGAGAGCACAGTGTGCCACCCACCGAGTCCCAGTAACCCGTGTCACAGCCAACTGGGTGGAATCCCGTATCACAGCGATCCCAGTGAGATCCTGATACCCAATCCAGCAGCATCGTCATCTAGTGTCCCCACTAACACTGACATCACATCACAGCTAAAAGAAACAGAACTCACCAGAGATGTCCACACAGGCCGGATGTACAGTGTCATTTCCGTGACGTCAGTTAGAAGTGAGAGGCGTGGGGAGCACTTACCGCCTGGGCTGGAGCAGGTGGCAAGTCCTCGGTCAGCAGAGGAGAGAGCCTGGCGGGCTGGCGCCGGGCTGCAGGCTTCGGCGATGCTGCCAGCTGGGACACGGACAGCTGAAAGGGGAGAGATCAGGTGAGGAGCGGAGATGGCCTCCCGTCTCTCCGCAGAGTCCCTACCACACACGCTGGCCAGGGACCCTCAGAGAGGACAAATCTGGAGACAGACACAGAGAAAGAGGACTTCCACCAAGTCTCCTGACCAGTGTCTGCTCAGACCTGGAACTGGCTGGGGCTGGGTTCTTTTATTATTTTATCTTGGGCTGCATGTAGAACTCCTATCTATTGCTTCATTAATGTATACTGTGTTTCACACATTCCTTCATTCATGCTATGTTTTGTGCGATCCTTCTCAAACACTGTTTAATAAGCTTGATCGCCACTGATCTATGCCCATCCTTTCAGGTCCCCATTGGATCTTTCCTAATTCCTTCACTCGTGGAATTTGTGTTAAATGTCTTTCTTTTCATTTAGAAGACATGATTCTGTAATCTTTTTCCAAATCATAATATTTTAGTAAAAATATTCTCAAAAAAATAAGCTAGGAGAAAAAGTCAGAAAACCCAGGTTCTCTCCACTACATGGGGTCCGCTATGCTTAAACCCCTGCAGAACTAAAGCATGTCCAACGTCCCTTTTTTTTTTACTTATTTATTTATTTATTCTTTTTTATGTGTGTACCGTCAAATTGGATCTGATTGGTTCAGCAGAGCATCTGGTGGATTTGAACCGCGCACCTCTGGGATTTCAGCGCAGTCTCCTACCACCAGGCCACCAGAGCTCACCCCAACGTCCCTTTCTACTCCAAACACTGTTTCAGTGGAAAAAGCCCCATGTTCAGGCCACGGCCACAGTGGCAGCTGATGCACGTGCAGGCCACACATAGAGTGTGATTAACTATCAAGAGACTTTGGCCAAATTATCTAAGTTTTAAAATCTACCTATCTGTAAAATGGGATAAGAACAGTACCTAAATCCAGCAGTGTAACTAGATAAATTGAGTAAAATAATCCCTGGGCTCTGTCTCTAACGTGGACGGTCACTGTACATGCTCGCAGAACCAAAGGAGGGGTGGGCATAAGAAAAAACCAGATAAGTGGGGGTGGAAAGCATGAGGGACACTGGACATTGTGTGGGTGAAGAACAGGTGAATGGAGGCAGGAGGCAAGGGGTCCTGGCAACATCGCTGGGGGTAGTTCAGCAGTCCTCAGGTCCCCCCAAGGCATCAGGAGCCTGTGTGTGTGGAAGTGGACAGTGGCACGCTGTGTCTGTAAACACACCAGGGAATGTGTTTCCCACACCAGGGAACAACACTGGACAGGCCTTTGGGGGCAGGGAGGTGAGAACAAGTCTCATTTCTGACCCGAGCTGCACTGGTACCAGCTAAACCCGCTTCCTAGGGATACTGGTTATTCATCTTTCCCAGAAAGTCTAACTCTAGTGCAGCGCTGGCAGGCAGGGCCAACACGAGGAAGAAGCCATCGCAGACTGCACTCAACCGCACAGTGAAGCTGGCCAGTGACCCCTGGTGGGTGACTCAACGTCCTAGAGGACAGCCAAGCAGGGGCACCCCACCACCACACAGGCCAGGTGGGAGGTAAGGAGCCCATTCCCCACTGAAGATTCCAGCACCCATATGACGTGTTGTCTGGCACACGGTCACCAGCATTCACGTCTTCTTTAGCTGCAACCCTGCTCCCGCCAGGATCAGCTGCTCAGCCTGTGGAGTCCAGCTGGTCCCCAAGAAGCCCCTTGCATGTCCCTGGCCCCCTCGAGTAACCTTCTGGGTGAGGAGAAGATGAAGACCACACTTGAGAATGTCTTAAAAAGAAAAAAGGGAAGGGCTGGACATAATTGCCAGTTGTTGCTGTGTGCTGTCCAGCTGAAACTGACTCCTAGCTGACCCTCCAGGGGATTTTTTCAGAGGCAGTAAAGTGCACAGGAGGAGACTGCCCATCTTTCTACCACAGAGCAGCTCACAGATTTGAACCGCATGCCTTTGAAATTGCAGTGCAGCTTCTTACCACTTAGGCCACAGGAAGAAGACATTCTTTTAGGAGGCTGAACATTCACAAATGGAAACTGGACCATTCTCAGATGGAAACTGGAGGGTCACAGCCATCAGTGGGGAGCTCCCCCTCCCTGCATCACCCAATTGCCAGCCTGGCACTGTGGTCAGCACACTGAGAGACACTGGGGTGGGTAGTAACAGAGTTACCCCCACAATAGCCCCCTCTGTCTGGGCAGGACCCCACCCACTGCCATGAAATCCAAGAGGAGAACAGTTCTGCTTAAAGATGCAAAATGACTTTTCTGGCCCTCAAGAGTTTTTAAACGCTGTCTTCTGCTATTCCTTCTGCACAGGGCATGACCTGTTGGCTGGAACTTACGCCTGGTCCCACGGGTGAGTCCTGGGTGGCAGCGAGCCTCGAGACTGACCGCACGGGCGGGCCTGTGGGGAGACATGGGGTGGAGGGTCAGGAAGCCCACCCCCACCCAGGCAGGTTCTTGTCAGCTCCCCCACCTCACCTGTGATGGACACTGAGAGCCAGACACCTGCACCATCATGGGCTGAGCCATGATGTCATACCCTTGGCTGGTCGGCTGATAGCTACCATTTAGTTTGACCTGCTTCATGAGGACCTCACGCACAATGAGATCAAACCACTATGATTCAGAAGGCTGACTTGCAGTAAGTCTCCAGGCCTTTCTTCGTAGTTTCAGCATCACAATGTGCACGTGAGGCTCTGTGGCTATCAGACTCTGCACAGCCAGTATAAATGTGGGCCAGCAGGAGCTTCCCCAGGCGTCTCTGCTTTCTGATGAAGGGGACTTGTGTTAACTCCACACCAGACGATGTCTGTACTGTGTGTCAAGCACTCCCCTGCATAACCACTGTCCTGTGAGAATGCAGCTCTAGGAAGTGTGGGTTTAATGAGCAGAAGACACTTCATCAGAGGTTCTCTAACAAGCTGACCACGGCACTGCTGTCTTTTTACTCACTCAACATCCCAAGCCTGAGAAGGCCAATCAAGGTCTGCAGGTGCAGAGCTCTCTGCCTCAGGTCAACACCCCCATGCAAAGTAAGAAACCTGCAGACAAGCACCCTGGCCAGGCTCCCCTGACACCTGCGCTATTGTGTCACCCACAGTTCCGTGACTGCACAGGAAGGCAGCCTCTCCTGTCTAAGGCCTGTCTAGGGCAGTGGAGAGAGGCCTGGTGTGCCCAGCTGCTGAGTAAGCTCCACAGGCCAGTCTGCAGGAGAGAGATACGGAGTCTGCTTCTGCAAACATGTGCAGCCCTGGAGACTAAGGGCCAGCCCTGCTCTGTCCTCCGGGGCTGCTAGGAGTTGGGATGGACTCAGGGCAGCAGGCTTGTTGGTGGTGGAGGCTCTTTAGACTCAGGAAGCCACCCCAGCAAGGAGCAGCCAGTCCTCCAAATGCTCTGCCCAAGCTCACTCAAAGAGTGTCCTCACACCTGCTGGTTCTGCAGGGGACCTCCTGGGGCAAACGGAAGCCCTCTACACATGCACTGCCTGCGCACACTGTCCTCTATGAACAGACTCACCAAGGCCCTCTATGGTGAGGATGATGTCCACTCCAAGTGGACACCACCACACAGCAAGCAAGCAGGGACACTTAAGCCACCTGAGGAGTCGAGCCCCCCACCGGCTTCTCTATCACCCACCTGCAGAGAGCTCATCCTGGGCCACAGCTCCCAGAGTCTCTTCCCTTCACTGCCCTCATGACCCACCCCAAAGACATACAGGACAGTTGAGCTGAGGGCACCCTGCGGAGGGGAGAGTAGATGTCCTCCACCTGCAGGCCAGTGTTCCCTAGGCATCACGAGGTCTCTCACCTCAGAGGTCCAGCAGTTACGGGTAGGACTCCGGCTGCCTCCATGGCAACTCCCAACAACCCAGCCCCACTGCCTCTGACAAGTCAATAAAGGGGCTCCGAAACCACTGGGATGCACAGGCCTCAGGAAGGCACAACATCCCCGTGCTATCGGGTGTACTGTGACTCCTGCTGGCCCCCTGCTGGGCTTCCAAGGCTGCAAGTCTTAATAGGAGGAGAGTGCTCATTTTCCAAATGAGGGAACAGTGTATTTGAACTGCCAACCTTCCAATTAGCAGCCCAACATGTAACCTATTAATGCTACCCGGGCACCTTGCACTCAATCAGAGGCACGTGTAATTCCTTCACTTCATCCACTGCTTCACTGGGGTGAGCAAACCCTCCAGGAGCAGCCTCTTCCCAGCCCAGGAAAGAGACAAGCACCACAGATGTGAAATGCAGACAGGGAAACGGCGGGGCCAGGCTGTCTGTCCCTGAAACTGCGCAGCTCACCCAGTCCCTGGAGCATCGTAAGCAGACAACTTCAGCAGCTCCTGTCCTTTGTCCACAGAAACTCCACTTTCCCCCTCCCCCCCCCCAAAAAAGTCTAAAAGACGAAGCCAGAAAGCAGCAAGCTGCGATCCACTTTGTTCCAGCGTAAATGGGGACTAAAAACTCCACAGGCTGATTTTGGTAACAAGGGAAAATGGGAGGAAATGGCCCCATTATCTTCTGCAGAGAGAACCCCAGGCCCCAGGAGCGGGTCCTTCGTGTCCTCAAGCGGAGGAGAAGCTGCCCACTGTGTAAAGCTGAGATGTTAACACACACCCCTCCTCCTTACATGCTTGCTTTACCCCACACCCTCCAGGCTAGTGACTATGCGGGGCATTTTTCATGGTAATCCTTGACCTTTGAACTTTTTATGCAGCTGTATCTTCCTGGAGATTAAAACAGCCATTGAAAAGATGGAGCTGGTGAGCCCAGGAAAGAGGGGGCCCTGTCCACTTACCTCAGCGAGGCAACTGCTTAAAGAGAAAATGCACTTAAATCACAAAACCAAGCAGTTTCACACAATTTGGTTTTAACGTTCACGTGGTGGCTCTCTATCACTTCTCAAACTACACAGCAACACACTGTTACCCGGAGTCCAGCCTTTCCTTGCGGTTTACCCACTTTAATTCTCCAGGAATCTTCCAAAAGCTCCAAGGGGTATCTCTCTGGGAAGCCCCAGTTCCTCCGGAGCGTGATTTATTTAGCCGGGAACATTCTGGGCTAGTGAAGCCGAGCCACAGGTATCACGCATGTGCCCTCGGAGCTCTGTGTGCAGACGTGTGCAGATGTGTGCACGGGATGAACGCACTGGAACCCTACAGCTGTGCCGCCTCACAGAGCAGACTCAGCAGGAGCGCGCGTGCTCCTGAAGATGGAAAGCGTTAAGAAAAACCTGGCACGTCCATCCACATATAAAGCACGCAAGTACTTACGAAGGATGAGGCCGTATCCTTAACCATCGCAAGAAGATGGAAACAGCCCAAATGTCCAGCCATATTCCCATGGATTGAGGAGTTGTGGTACATTCACCACGGAATACCATGCGGCATGCAGGCACAATGATTCTGACAATTACTGCATCACTTGGGAGGGGACTGGAGGGCATTATGCTGAGAGAATTAACTCTGTCTCATAAGGACAAATACTGCATAAAACCACTATTGTATAAACAGAAAGATAACTAGTAAAACGTGTATGAGGATCCAAGGGGGCAGGGTGGGAGCAGAGGGGTGAGGACGGGCAGGGGGAAAATTGTAGGGTCATACAATGACGTGGGCAGAAGGCATGGGATGAGTAAAGAAAATGGGAAAGATACTGCAGGGATCAGGAAAGATACTGCAGGGATCTGGAAAGACAGGGTAACGATGGGCATAGTTCTATGGGGATTAATTCTATAAAACATAATGGATGGGATTGATTGTATGAAACACAATGTGAATGAAGCATAGTGTGAAACAAAATATGTACAAACTTTGTAAGCAAACTGATATAAAATATTTTTAAAAATAATAAAGAATGAGGCTTTCCATGGGGCTTGCCACAGAAAGAGTACCCAGACAAGCAACAAGGGGCACAGAGCAGGCCACCAAACCATCTACATCTACACCTTTAAAAAACCCCAGACCTACATGAGTTGACATCAACTTGACTGCACCTAACAACTTAATTTATGCTGTTGTTGGGGGCCGTCAAGTTCACTGCAACTCATCCTGGGCCCGTGTGACAGAGCCGAATGGCCACCCAGGGTGTGGTCATTATAGAAACACAGTGGGGCTTCCTCCTGCGGGGCCACGAGGTGAGTGTGAACCCCTAACTTCTGGCTAGCAGCCAAGGGCTTAGCCACGGCACCAGCCCAGCTCCTTGCTCCAAGTACAGTTGTCAGAAATCTTCGCTTTATTTAAAAACCCCAGTATCTGCAAGGCACACTAAAGTGAAACAAATGACACGAGGCAGGCCTATATAGTTAGGGCACACCTTTTTATTAGAAATATCTCTGTAAGTGTAGGGAGCTCTAGTGGCTTAGTGGTAAGGAACTGAATTGCCAATACAAGGCTATAACGTTCGAATCCACCAGCTGCTGTGAGAAAAAGATGGGAACTCTCTTCCCATGTAATTTACTGCCTTTGACTCGGTTCTGACTCGATGGTATGCACTGACAACAGTGTGTGTGTGTGTGTGTGTGTGTGTGTGTGTGTGTGTGTGTGTGTGAATTTAGTGGTATGCATGGAACGGTTAACCTTTCTAAGACACTAGTAAGCATGTCATCATGCTTGGGAGGATGGAGGGCAGGCGCAGGAGGGGAAGGCCCTCTGGGAGATGGATTGATTCAGTGACTGGGATAATCGGGATGAGTGTGTCAGAGACAGTGAGATTGGCACAGGACAGAGCAGAGTTTAGAGCTGTTGTACATAGGGTCGCTATGAGTCACAAGCGACTCGACGGCACATAACAACAACAACAAGAAGCACGTCATCATATGTTACCCACAGAAGTAAAAGGAGTTAGTTCTAAAACTTAAATGCTCACATTAGGGCCTGCCTTCCTGACACTGGCAGGCTCACACCGCTTCAGGATGTACCCCTGACATGCTTCCACACGGTGCCGAGAAGCAGGCTCTCCACAGCAAGCAGCTGGACACCCCTGCTTCTTCCAAATGGCAGCCCCTATGCCCACAGTTCTCTGGCCAAAGGCTGATCATCTCCACCATCGAGGCACCAAGGCTGACAGAAAGAGCAGCTCTGCCAGGGCAGCTCTGACCAGGCGCAGGGCCCAGGACACTTCTAGGACTTGAGTTCCGAGGAGCTGCGTTGCCAGTAGAACCTCGAGTGCACGGAGCTGTAGGCAGAGATGACGTGGAGGGCCTAAACCAGCATTTCCTCTGACACCAGAGCTAACGGGGATCCAGAAGGCTGCACAGTGATTGGGAGAGACAAAGAAACCTTAGCTCCTGAGCTGTGGCCGACTTGTCTGCCTGTCCGGAGATTAATTCTCCCTGACACTCTATTATTCCCCAAGCAGTCTCTGCTCATTGAAACTGCGGTCAACAAAGCCTCAACTGTCCTGT